AAAAAAGTATAAAATTTCTGAAAATGTCTTAAGTTCGACATTAAAAAGTTTTCATAACTCTTACGATTTAGTACCAATAAACTCCATTTTTGACGCACTTTCTTTTAGTATAAAATTAGTTATGTATACTATTTGAAATTATAGTGTTACCCCCCTGGAAAAATATTTTTACCCACTCTGTATATTGGAAGAATTTTCAACTAATAATTAATTACATCAGCATCATCATCATCATCATCATACATATCTTTCTTATTCGAATATGTAGTACCTATGTCAAGAGGCAATGTTTCTTTATGATTATTTGTTGGTGTACTTTGAATAGGTGATGATAATAGTGTTTTGGTAGACTTTATCTTGAAATAATGTGATATTCCAGGAAAAGTCTCATGTGGTGCGTCACAACAACCACAAAAATCTGTGCATACGGTTTCAGATCTACGATTGCTATTTTCTGGAGGTTGTTGTGATGGTATAGGGCGCATTGTTTTAGGTGTATGTTGCTGATTTCCTGATATTGACGATGTTTTTTTGTCTTTGTCTTGTTTTTGGTTTTTTCTTTCTGAAAAATAGCATCGACAAATAAGTTGAATCAATAAATAGTAATAGATAAAAAGCAACCTTTTGAAAATTTATTTGCATATTTTTCTACATAGACTTCTATAACTTGACTATTCTTTTGATTCACTTCATCGGGTACAGTAAATCTGATCGGATCTGATCGATATGTTTCTTCGTCATCTTTAAAAAATAAAAATGGAAAAATATACTATCATTATAGCAAGAAAGATCATTAATTTACTATTCAATCTTGCCATGATATAAATAGTGTGTCTAATCTCTTTATCAGGTTTTAAATGTTCAATACAAACTTTATATGCATCACTTTGTGATGGTCGACGTATCTATATGATATATATTAATTGATAAATGTAGTAAAAAATGTTTTTCTTTTCTTTCGTTCTCATTTGATCAATAAACATACATAAATAATTTCTTTATCATCTAAGACGAGAATATATTTTTGAGCGATTGAATCACCAAGATGACACCATCGAACTATCACATTAGGTGTTGAATCATTCTTTTCCTTTTCAAACATTATAGTTGGTGCTAAAGAAGAATGTTTCCGTAGAATCGAAAACTCCTAGTAGTTATAGATAGACATCATAAAAATTCTTTTAAGTTAATCTATGACATACCCGAATTTCTGACTTCTTTATCCACATTTTCGTATTTTTGGGTATAGCTTCAATATGAACTAATGTGTTTCCTTTTATTGGATCAAAACCAGATGCCAATATATTTTGAAAGTTAGCATTAAATTCAACTCGAATAGAATTATCAACGACTAACTATATAGAAAAAAACAAATCTATCTCATTTTCATCGATTTCATTTAAAACTATACTGTTACTTGTACATTTCTCAAAGTATTGTGTTTTTTTGTTAGAAATTGATACTTACTACAAAGTTTTGAATGAGTTCTCGAGCTTCCTCATTGTTAATTTCGACGGTACCATAGATTTTATTATCGAAAAATACTGAATTTTCAAGAGTAAAATTAATCTCCAAGTCTTTCCACAGACGATCACTATTCTATAATTAAAAAGAAATTTGTTCTTGATTATAATTATTATAAAAAAATCCATTACGTCCTGTGAATTAGGTGATCTAGAAAAAAAATGATTTCGGATTTATGCATTTTAAATACAAAAATAAATAAATCTCACTGTGCATTATTTTTGGAAGATTGATTAGACATCTTTTTTCAATTACATTGGACATTCATCATTAACTAAAAATTAATATGAAAGATTTTTGTTAATCAATATTCTATTGAGATTTTTTCTTTCTCTTCAAAATAATTTTTTTTTTACTGAATAACTACTCCTCAGGAGAAAGAAAAAACTCTTACAGAGAAAGAAAGGTTTGTATGAAAAATGCAATGAATATCAAATTCTTGTTACGATCATTGTAACCAATTCTTTTTTCTGTTTTTTTTCTTTCCTTCCGTTTCTTTGGCAATAAAAAAACTAACATCTATGCGATTATTTTACGGCTCTTCAATGTAAAATTTGAAATAAGAACACATAAATAGGTCATTCATAATTTCCATTGTAGTAGAAAACAACGATTTAGTCATAAAATTTAAAGCAAATGTCATCAACTCTTGATCACGATAAAGTAGACAAATAAAACATGATTTAACAAATTTAATTAGATTTCTTTTACACATATATTGTTGTTTTTTCGTTCAGACTCAACGCAAATCATCTTCTAGAAATTTCAACCCAGGTGATCGTTGTCAATATTGTAACAAGTTTAAATCAGAACGGTTTGTTGTTTGTTTTAATTTTATTATTATCTTTAATATCTACGTGTTTTATTCGTAATAGTAATGATAAAGAAATTTGTGAATGTAATCGAAAAAAAGATTTTCATGAAGGATGCAATAGAAAACTAGAAGAAGAAAAAGAGAAGACGTTAGCTCCTATTATAAAAGTACGCGGTATAGAACATGGACAACTTGAAAATGGTGCTTTGGTATACAGAATCTACAAAATTCTTTTCTCTATCAATATTTGTTTACATTCGTTTAGTATGCTCATTTTTCCATGGATACACCTGTAAGGAGAATTGCAGAGTTTATTTCACAACAATGGGATATTCAAAAACCTAAATTGATTATGTCGATTATTGGCGGTGCAAAAAATTTTACGTTAACCGATCAGTTTGAATCAAATATTATTAATGGAATTATTAAAGTTGCTCTTAAATCAAGTATATTAATTTATATATATATATATTGAATTGAATAAAAAATAATTGAATTTATTTGTTTAATAGATGTATGGATGATTACTAATGGATATAAAGTTGGTATTGTTCAACTTGTTGGACAAGAAATTAATAGAATTAAATTATCAAAATTCAATAAAAGTACCATCACTGCCATTGGAATTGGTAAATGGGGAAGTATTAAAAATGTCGAAAAATTAACAGACATGCAGACAGACGAAAAAAATAAGGTTACAAGAGATTTATAGATTTAAATTATTAATATATGTATGTATTTTGTCTTTTATTTTACAGAAAAATAAACGTATGTCGAAGATTTTAGATAAAGAAAATCAAGATATTGATGAATTACAAAGTGGTGAATGTTATCTTGAAATGAATCATAGTCATTATCTCATGTTAGATGATGGAACTTATCGATATTTTAATACGAAAGATTATCGAACACGTTTATGCAACTACATATCAAATCTATACAGAAGCAATGGGTTTTACAGTATGTAGATATTAAATCTAAATTATGCCAAGGACATTCTATTATCTGGATTGAGAATTTGACACCATTTTCCTTGACGTGATCATACTTTATATTAGATACGTCTAGGATAAATTTTTCTTCGCATCCGATACTTTGACAGAGAAAAATTTTCTTATCGTTAACCTATCCTGCAGGATTAGATAATTCTACGCATCTTTATCTGATACTAGCATATCCTGATTGTTCTATGGAGTGCCATAGTATAAGAATCTGTCGGGTATGGATCCAAACCCATACTCGCTCAGATTCGGGTTAGAGGGCTGCAGGTTAAGAAATGGCTGTAACCTGCCCCGTAAAAATTTTGTAACTTGACCCTGCCATGCCCTGTGGAATTTTCTTTTTGAAGCAAAGAGACATCAAAAATTTCACATCAATTTTAAAAATCAATTCAATTCAAAATACCTCAAGCATATAACAGATAAAAATAACACGAAGTTTCTCAAAAATCTCTAACATAAAAATATCAAATGCATGGAATTTTCTGCAGGCGATCGTAATTAACTTCTTCTCATCGACGAGTAGGTTAACTTTATTAAATCTATTTTTCTTGATATACCATTTTATAAAAGATGTCGACAATATTAAATAAGTAAAATTAATCGCAGGTGAACAGATTACGTGCAACCTGCACGGATCTAGTCTGGGTCGGGTTTTGGGTCTGAAAATTTTGCTGTGACCGGGTCCGAGTCGGATCCAGCTCGGAAGAAAACCTTAATAAATACAATGTATTATGAATTTTTCAAAATTTTGTTCGTTTTATAAAGAGAAAAATTGAATGTATTTAGAAAATAGACAAAAAAAAAACAACAAAACACTTTATTGAATATAATAGGTGTTCCATGATAAATGGACCTCTGAATGTTTTCATCTATGATTGAGCATAGAAAATAAAATTTTTTTTATGGAAAGATTCCTCATGAAATTCTTTACGAACCTGCATATTTCACTTAGTTCAAATCCTACATATAGTTTTATAAAAGTACAATTAGTTTTCTTGGTCAAGAATGTTCGACTTTCAAATCCATATTTTTGCATCATTTTTTTCCCTACATGTTTCAATGTCTGAGTTAGTTGTTATTTTAATCTCGCTATTGTTCGCTCTACAAATGTCACGAATTCAGCTCTTCCAACGTACTTAAAATAAGTCAGTAGTGGACTTTTTGGATATGAATGAAAAATCGTGAGTTAGTGATGATGTTAACGTATGAAAAATGTTTGAGACAGATGTTAGAGAAAATAACTATTCTGAATATATTTCAATTTGCTTATAATCTATATATATATAATGTTCAGTGTGTGTCTGTGCCGGGTCAAAGGTCATGTAAGGCTTTAATGGAAAGGCGCCAAGGGCTATTATATGGAGATATCCACAGGTCTTCAAGGGCTTTTATATGGCGGTACCCATAGTTTCTCAGGGGCTGTTATGTAGAGGTACTCATAGGTCCTCAAAAGCTATCCTATGCAGGTACCCATAGGTTCTCATGGGATATTATATAGAGGTACCTATAGGTCCTCAAGGGCTATTATGTAGAAGTACCCACAGCTCCTCATGTGATATTACATGACGGCAGCTATAGTTCTTCAAGGGCTACCCTATGGAGGCATCCACAGGCCCTTAACGACTATTATATGGGGATACCCATAGATCCTCAAGGGCTATTATATGAGAACACCCATGTATTCTCAAGGGTCATTCTATAGAGTACTCATAGGTCCTGAAGAGTGTAAGAGAATAAAGCGATAAGGCTACAAGAGGTACAATGGATATAAGGATATAGGGACGTTAGGCTACATGGACTAAAACAATCAGTGTGACATACACCTGTGGACAAAAGTCTTTCCCTACATCTCGTTTTTTGGCAAGGTTTCCCTGCTATAATAAGGATAAAGCATGGTTTTCTACGCGTCGAATAGTGAGTATTCGGGTTTTCTTTTAAATGGTCCGAACAACACCATGTTTTGTCCTTATAATAGTAGAGAAAGCCTTGCCGAAAAAAGAGGTGGAAGGAAAGGCTTGCCCATCAGTGTAATAGTATGACGCCGTAAGGTTTTGATCTATATACATGATGTCGCGTATCTCTATGTCTGTTATCGGATAAAAAGTTAAACGTCTGAAGTCATACATTAAACGAGAAACCGGCCGTGCAGTATGCACCGGTTCTCGATAGTTGAAACATATAGTGCAAAAAGATGATGAAAAAATATGAATTTGAAAGTCAAACATTCTTGATCAAGAAATCTAATTGTACTTTTATAAAACTATATGTAGGATTTGAACTAAGTGAAATATGCAGGTTCGTAGAGAATTTCACGAGGAATCTTTCCATAAAAAAATTTTATTTTCTATGCTCAATCATAGATGAAAATATTCAGAGGTCCATTTATTATGGAACATCCATGATTATCGAAACTGATTTATCATCGTGCTTGGATGCAAAAAATTTAAGCGACGGGGTCTAATATTTTTTAAATAAGTGGGTCCGGATCCGGGTCCAAAAATCTTGGACCTGGCGGGCTCTAGTGAGTATGGGTATTGCTTTTATACTTAATCTTACCCACGCTTTTGAATGTAAGTTTTAACTTCAAGTTTTTGCAGCTTCAAGCCCCCCCCCCCCCCCCGCCTCCGGTCGTCACTTCCTTTCCTTTTACAGTCCTCAGCAACTGCGCACAAAAGTCTTCAGATTCTATACAATATTTCAATTGTTTCATAATTCGTTTGCAAGAAACTATTTTTCACTGTACAAATGTTGCATTAGAGTAACAAGTTTGAAGGATATATGTAAGCTCTACATTTTAGCTCGAAGCGAGCTGCACTAACAAATTTTTACGAGTATACGACATAAAATAAGAAATTGCTTGATTTATAATGTATTAACTGATTCAACCAACGTTATTAAAGGATTTATTCTTTTCTACAATTACAATCAACTTATTCTTTATTTTATATGTATATATTTAGCTTCTCTTGTTACGATCGTTGTTGAAGGTGGTAAAGATACCATAAGAAATATGTATTTTGATTTAAAACATAAAGTTCCCATTGTCATTATTAAGGTAAGATTCTAATATGAATCATACATATTATTTATTTTTATTTGCTATGAACATTTTGTTTTTTTTTCATATAGGGTAGTGGTCGTGTTGCTGACTTTATTAGTCGTTGGTTATTGTCTGCAAAAGACTTCAACGATGATTCCGATGAAGATAAAGTGGTATATGAAATTGATGAATTATATACAAGAAGTGCTACAATAGAAGTTTCTGAAAACAGAGCACAAACAAGATCGAAAACAAGGTAAAAACAATTTTTAAAATTAGTTATTTTAATCATTGAATTTTTACAGAACTGATATACATGCTGAGCTTTATGCTGATTCATCTTTAAAAAAGTAATGAAAAATTTCAATTTTGAATTGAATTTTTATTTTTCATTTAAGACTTCATCAACTGTTCAAAAATTATAAGGAAAACCTTGACAAAGAATTAAAAAATGTTTTAAGTGGTGATAATGAATCGCATAAGAAAAAACGTGAAAAATCTAAGTCAAAAAAGGATGATTTTAATGAAAAATTACCAAGTCTGCTTGATCAAGTTATGTATTGTCTACAACCAGGCCTTCGTTCACTAATAACTGTATTTGACTTAAATTCAGAAACTGATTTATCAGAGACAATTTTTGAGACTATTTGCAAATGTAATTTAATTATTTTCATATATTTTAGTTATTTTTCTTTTTTCTAATACTTATTTTTTCATATTTTTAGCATTTGACAATTTACCACAAAATATTCAAGAAATGAAAGCTAGTAAATAAAATAATCATTAATTTGATTTAATAAAAAAGAAATTGTTTTCATTGTAGAACAAACATTACTTGATTTAGCAATCGATTGGAATTGTATTGATACAGCGAAAGAATTCATTTTTCAAAATTCATTAAAGCATATTCCGGTATTTATATTTATATTATTTGTTAATTTATATAATTAATTTTTGTGATTTTAGAAACCAGACAACATCTTTATAAATGCTTTAAAAAAAAATTCACCATTATTTGTATATGAATTTCTTAAATTAGGCTTTGATCCAGCTGATATATTCTTTCCAAAAAATAAATTTACTGATGAAGAAAAACGATATAACATTTTTTTTGAAAAACTCTATGCACATGATTTAGTGGTATGCGATTATTTGAAAAAATTAATACTTTGTTTCTATAGATAATATATGTTTTATCTTTCTAGATGCGTGATGAAACGCATTTAAAACATTTTATTGAATCTAATATATCTACACATGAGAAAAGTATTAATGATGTTAAATCACTTAATAAAGTTTTGTGGAATCTTATTGGTGATTATATGTATAAACTTTATTTTGATACAGAAAAAGCTGAATATAACGATCGAATAAAATGGGGATTAATGAAAAGTTCTATAAAATCCGAAGAAACTAAAAATAAGAATATTAAAACTAATAAATCTATATCAAATGAATCAGAAAAAGCAAAAGCACACAAATATATAATGCGTGATTTATTTTTATGGGCTATATTAATGAATTATGTTGATATGGCTAAAGTTTTTCTATGCTATCTAAAATATCGAATATGTCCAGCATTGATTGCAACAAAAATTTTAAAACAATATTATTTAGTAGCTAATTATGGAGACTTAAAAGAACGTTATATGGAAAGTGCAAACTACTTTGAACAATATGCTATTGATTGTCTAGATAAATGTGATGATGAAGATCGAGCATGTGATATTGCTGTACAACAAAATGAACTTTATGGATATGTTACTTGTCTCCAAGTATGTTTTCATAATTTCTTCTAAATAATTAGACAAAAAAAATATATTTCATATTTATTAAAGGTTGCAGCTGATGCTAATGATAAATTACTTATTGCAACATCATGTTGTTCACAAGCTATGCGTAATATTTGGTATGACAAACTTCATCCGAAAAAAACCCTTGCATATAATGGATTATTTTTACTTCTTGGCATTCTTTCATTTGGTCTTTTGGCTCCTGCTTTTATTGACTATCGAGAACAAGAAACGGTTAGGAAAAAAAAATTTTTTATTAAAATCCTAATAGAAATAGATCCTTACACATTGACTTCTCAAAGAAAAACAAAAAGACTGATTCTGAAACTAATTGATTTTTAGATTTCTTATTGAACCTAGGAGCTAAAACAATAGAAGAACATTTTTTATTTTAATGAAGAAAAAATCTATTCTGAATTTTAATGAAATTTATAGTATTGCGTAGTGTTTCGATAGACTTTCGAGATTTAAATTAATATATATTAATCATATGATGATCAACGTCATAAAGTAAAGACGAAACATAGATACTAGTTTCTAGAGCCCAGCGGTTCTGATTCCCAATCATGAAAAAAAATGGTTCCATTTTCGGTTCCTAAGAATTATTTAGAGCTGTTTTGAAAAGTTTTTTTATGAATGGCGTATGAAATAAGTGACTTTTTCGTAGCAAATTTACATTCCTTACTTTCCGAAATAGGTCATATAATATTCTTGAAAATAAATTTTGTTTTAAAAAACAAGCAAAAAGAGCAAATATACGAAAGTCACTGTAATACAGTATGGTTATCGGTTTAATGAGTTATACTAGGATTTGTTTTCTTTGTTTCATAATCGTCACCATAAATAACAATATCAAATATTTCGTCTTTTCCAACTCTTTTCTTGCTGCTGAAGTTTTAAACTATTCTTGATTGTGCAATGCAACGAAGTGGATTGTTGATCACAATCGGTCATCTTCCTTTTCCGATCAGTTGGAGTAGTTCCATTTAAAGTTTTCTTACTAACTCTATAGCAATATTAGATTTCTTCATCAAAATGTTGTGTTAAGTTTTTCTGCGGTACTCATATCTGAAAAAAATGTCTAATCAACTAGCACTATAGTAGCATCAAAACTGAAATCAATAAGTGATTAGAAAATTTACTATAGTTGAAATAACTAAAGTTGAATAAGCATAGACGAATATAGTTATCAGTAAAAGCTTCACGGTTCCAACGGTTCCGATTCCGGGTACCAAACTCTTGAAAATTCGGTTCTCGGTTCCGTTGTTTTTTGAATCGCTGGGCTCTACTAGTTTCCTATTTTGAATACAAAAAATCTCGTGATTATTTTTATTAGGATGCAGTTGCTGGTGAATCTCTTACACCTATGTATGTATATATCAGATATAAAAAACGCTTAATGATTAAAATATTTTGTGTTATATTGCGTTCAGTGTCGAACCATTTGGCATAGATTATACTGATCCATATCCACTGGAATATCCTCATTATTTTAGAAGTAAACTTTCATTTAATCGGTATATACATCGATTGAAACATTTTCATTTATCATTAGTAACGAAATTTACTTATCATGTAGTATGTACACATATAATGATAAGATACATTGAAGAATATTAATCAATTGATTTTAGATATCTTATATATTTTTTCTATTACTCTTCTCCTATGTTCTTCTTTTCAAATTTTCACCACCATCGGATAAAATTCCATCAATTGATTGGAC